CTCCCAGTATTGTCACATTTCCTTTATGAATTTCAGTTGTTACACTTTCAGGATTGAAGTAATTTTTTGTTCTTTTCTCTTTTTGTTCAGTGGTAGCGAATGGTGAGCAGGGCACAGGAGAGATTGGCGTTTCAGGTACGTAGTACAGCAATCCTAAACATCTGAGCACAGGAGACATGTGATGTAATTGGGGCAGTGTCCTTCAGGTTCTTCACTTTCCCGCCAGTAGGGCCCACCAATGGCAGCTGACTTCTGACGATGTCTGTCCAACTACCGGTGCTTTAGGAGACTCTTAGCAAGGCCCGTTAACTTGCTGCCACATTCCTCCTTTTGTTGCCCTGCTTAAATCCAGCAATAGGTTCTGTTTTTAGAGCTGTGAATGGGGACACAAAGGTCCAATAGCTGCCTCTCTGCCCTGTTGTCTGATCATTCAGAACCCCTCTACACCCGACATGCACACTCGCTCTTCATCTGTCAGTATGTGTGCCTCTGCTTTATCATTATGGATACATGGGAAGTGTCATTGTATCTCCATAGTCATGTGGTCCTATGCAGTTTTTAGAGTACCTTTGCATGTGCTTTTGTGGTCACCATGAAGATTATTTTATCCCAGTCATCATATTAAACCCTTGAGAATAAATTGTGTATGTAGCACCATACCTCATGTACTTTATGGTTGTTGTCCCCTTTCATTTTACATCCTGATTTTTCGGGACACCATGTTGCAACAAAATCTATCTCCAATTCTTTTCTGCCTTTACAGAGTGGCTACGCTGCCATGTGGGATCCCCGTGAAGCCCCATCATAGCCACCCTGACTTGCATACTTCCAACCAACACTGAGGTTTTGGAAGAAGATGCCAGCTGAGGCTCTATTTATAGGGGCACATACAGGCATTGTGGGGCTGGCGTGTAGATCTGAAACACAGACCTGATTTCTACAGTGACGGCTCCCTGAACTGGAAGTTTGGGAAGTGCTGGGCTGTACAGATTTTGGGTAAGCTTTAATGTAAGGCCCCTTTTTCACACTGTACGATCAGGTGGAGAGCCGTGCATGGGTCCCCTCCTGATCAGAGCGGTACAGATCTGATATCACCGCAGTGACCTCCGGGTCCGTCCAGTTTTTCTACCCATTTTGCGATGGAGGTGAAACCTGAAATGACCAGACCCAGTCTGTGTAATAGATATTGTTGTGACATCCTTGTCCGTCTGGTGTTTCCTTCCATCTTGCGATGGAGGAGAAAACTGAACTTACCGTGCCCCTTGTTAGGTCTACGCAGCGTACAGCGTAGACATGCGTCTGTTTACATCAGATTACTTGTTACATTTTGTTTTCCTGACCTGGATGGACTTGGGGATAATCTGATGTAAACCGACGCACCCACCCATTTAGATCCGGCTGCCCATAGACTAACATTGGACATCTCATTGGCTCTTGTCTAAAAAAAAAAAAACCTGACGGTCCCTGATCAGACCGCTCTCTGAAAGGGGCCACCCGAGTCTTTGGGGGAAACATACTGCTAGATTTCCTGGTGATAATCGCCATATGGAGCTGAAAGGGAAAGTACTTTACACAGGGAATTAGACAATTAGACGTTCACCTCATGATGGCAGCCATGACGTCGCTGGGGGGAAAGTCCAGTGACTGTAATGTACATTTGTGCCTGTGATATTTCTGCGGTTCTGGAGTCAGTAATGGCCACCGATACAGAACATGGCATAGCAGTGCTTTAATCTGCCCGCGTGTGACCTAAGGGGTTCGATAAAGTCCATGTACAGAGTATGCTCACCTACAACTCTCCATCGTAATTGAGCGTTCTCTAGTTGCTATGGGTTGCAGCATGTTTAATGTTTGCACTGCCTAATGACGTATCCCTCTGTAATTGTCCAAAATGAGATGCTCATCGCACCCCAAGATTAGGAACAAACTACAGCCCCCCAGGCTTGTCACTAGGTATTTATTATTATACAGGATTTATAGAGCGCCAACAGTGTGCGCAGCGCTTTACAATATAAGGAAGACATTACAATTACAATACAATTCAAGACGATGGTAAGGAGGGCCCTGCCCCTGAGGGCTTACGATCTAAAAGGGAGGGGCCAGTGATGCATGAGGAGGGAGCTGTGTGGGGGATGAGTTGTTTGAGGGTGATGGTTGAGCGGTTAGGTTGTGGTGGGATCGGCTTCCCTGAAGAGATGAATCTTTAGGGATCGCCTAAAGGCAGTCAGAGTGGGAGATGGACGGACAGGTTAGGATGGAGAGTTCCATAGGATGGGAGAGGCTCTAGTTAAGTCCTGGAGGGGAGTATGGGAGGAATTGATGAGGGAGCTGGAAAGCAGGAGGTCTTTTGAAGAGTGGAGGGGACGGTTGGGGTGATACTTTGAGACAAGGTTGGAGATATAGTTATTATAAGTGAACCGGTCACCAGTATACAAAGCTTTACCTAGTGGCACATTGATGTCATTAGTGACTTGATGCTGCAATGATCCGGCTTGAAGAATGGATGCATCATTGCATGGCACACTTGGCAGAAACCTGACGGTATTATTGTGGTATATCCCGCGTCTTAGAAATCCTGGCAGCAGATTTCTGTTCTCGGAGTGCTGATTAATAATTTAAATCGGAGGCTCAGTCTCCCGGCTTCCTGTCATCGCTCCCTGCTCATGTGTGCCCCCGCATTGATCATTGCTGTAGTGATGGTATAAATGTATGTATGTGCTCCTCACCACATGGAGCAATGATTGCTGCATTTTAAAGTAACTGTCTGTGTATCATCCATCGCGATTTAATAAAATCATTCTCCTCTTCATACTTTGCTTTCCTTCCTCATGCTCCAGATACTTTGTGGTCAGGGACTAGATTGATGGCAGGGCTCTTGGCTTGCGTATTTAAATCTGACCTCTGGCCTTCCCTTCACTGTGTGCATCTGACCTTCCCTTCACTGTGTGCATCTGACCTCTGGCCTTCCCTTCACTGTGTGTGCATCTGGCCTTCCCTTTCACTGTGTGCGCATCTGCCCTCCGGCCTTCCCTTTCACTCCGTGCGCATCTGCCCTCCGGCCTTCCCTTTCACTCCGTGCGCATCTGCCCTCCGGCCTTCCCTTTCACTCCGTGCGCATCTGCCCTCCGGCCTTCCCTTTCACTCCGTGCGCATCTGCCCTCCGGCCTTCCCTTTCACTCCGTGCGCATCTGCCCTCCGGCCTTCCCTTTCACTCCGTGCGCATCTGCCCTCCGGCCTTCCCTTTCACTCCGTGCGCATCTGCCCTCCGGCCTTCCCTTTCACTCCGTGCGCATCTGCCCTCCGGCCTTCCCTTTCACTCCGTGCGCATCTGCCCTCCGGCCTTCCCTTTCACTCCGTGCGCATCTGCCCTCCGGCCTTCCCTTTCACTCCGTGCGCATCTGCCCTCCGGCCTTCCCTTTCACTCCGTGCGCATCTGCCCTCCGGCCTTCCCTTTCACTCCGTGCGCATCTGCCCTCCGGCCTTCCCTTTCACTCCGTGCGCATCTGCCCTCCGGCCTTCCCTTTCACTCCGTGCGCATCTGCCCTCCGGCCTTCCCTTTCACTCCGTGCGCATCTGCCCTCCGGCCTTCCCTTTCACTCCGTGCGCATCTGCCCTCCGGCCTTCCCTTTCACTCCGTGCGCATCTGCCCTCCGGCCTTCCCTTTCACTCCGTGCGCATCTGCCCTCCGGCCTTCCCTTTCACTCCGTGCGCATCTGCCCTCCGGCCTTCCCTTTCACTCCGTGCGCATCTGCCCTCCGGCCTTCCCTTTCACTCCGTGCGCATCTGCCCTCCGGCCTTCCCTTTCACTCCGTGCGCATCTGCCCTCCGGCCTTCCCTTTCACTCCGTGCGCATCTGCCCTCCGGCCTTCCCTTTCACTCCGTGCGCATCTGCCCTCCGGCCTTCCCTTTCACTCCGTGCGCATCTGCCCTCCGGCCTTCCCTTTCACTCCGTGCGCATCTGCCCTCCGGCCTTCCCTTTCACTCCGTGCGCATCTGCCCTCCGGCCTTCCCTTTCACTCCGTGCGCATCTGCCCTCCGGCCTTCCCTTTCACTCCGTGCGCATCTGCCCTCCGGCCTTCCCTTTCACTCCGTGCGCATCTGCCCTCCGGCCTTCCCTTTCACTCCGTGCGCATCTGCCCTCCGGCCTTCCCTTTCACTCCGTGCGCATCTGCCCTCCGGCCTTCCCTTTCACTCCGTGCGCATCTGCCCTCCGGCCTTCCCTTTCACTCCGTGCGCATCTGCCCTCCGGCCTTCCCTTTCACTCCGTGCGCATCTGCCCTCCGGCCTTCCCTTTCACTCCGTGCGCATCTGCCCTCCGGCCTTCCCTTTCACTCCGTGCGCATCTGCCCTCCGGCCTTCCCTTTCACTCCGTGCGCATCTGCCCTCCGGCCTTCCCTTTCACTCCGTGCGCATCTGCCCTCCGGCCTTCCCTTTCACTCCGTGCGCATCTGCCCTCCGGCCTTCCCTTTCACTCCGTGCGCATCTGCCCTCCGGCCTTCCCTTTCACTCCGTGCGCATCTGACCTCCGGCCTTCCCTTTCACTCCATCACTGCATGCTGAACTTCTTCTCGCAATGTGCATTAGAAGCTGCAGCAAGTCCGGTGGAGGCCGCCTCATTTGTATGTCCGGCTCCTTCAATGGTTGTACACAAAGTAAACCTTTCTGCTCAGATATTTCTATTGAGTTCTTGTCGGACTTATTACCGTAGTTGCACTTCAGCTTGTAATGTAGGGATCCCGGGTATGAGGAACTCTGTGGCTTCTGTGAAATCACTGGAGTGTTATTGGGACGTCCTACATTGGAGATCCAACAAATGTCTATATCACAATGTCTGTTCATGCCGATTTCACTGCGCAGGACGGCAATCTGTGATGAGGAATACAGGCGAGTAGACAGGAAGAGTTTCTAGTCGTGCAGAGGCGGTGAGATTCTCAGCCAGAAAGTGTTCCATCTAATCTGATACTTCCGGAGGTTGGGAGATTACATGGAGCAGCCTCTGACCTGGGCCGTGCTGGAGCTGCTCATACATGTCGCTCACAAGTGGCTTTGCCATTTTCCATTTCAATGCTCATCCAGGCGGCTTCATCTGTAGCTTCCTTTTTTTCCCC